AATTGACCGAGCAACTCCACTACTGGGAGTTTACTACCCTAAAGAGACCATAATCACCATCCAAGCAGATATATGCACACCTATATTTATTGAGGCTTTGTTCACAATAACAAAGAGATGGAAACAACCCAAGTGCCCATCAACAAACAAGTGGATAGAGAAGCTCTGGTATATTCACACAATGGAATACTATGCTGCATTGAAAAACAAGGAACTCATGAAATATTATACAAAATGGGTGACCCTGGAGGACATTATTTTGTGACTGAGTGAAATATCTCAGTGACAAAAAGACAAAGACTGCGTAATGCCACTGTTGTAAAACAGGACTGACATAGGGATTCGGGGGAGACTGAGAGAAAGGGGATAAATAATGTATACTGCACTGAAACAGATGAGGGAGAGAACTGTTTAAAAGGGATATATGATTAGGTATTATTGTCATGACGGGAGTCCAGAACAAAGGCTGCATAGTGGAGTCTACTTGGAGGGAGGGATTGTATAACAATGAAAGAATTTTTCTTTTACTTTTCAAAGAGAAGAGCAAATTGGGGAGGAGGGGTGGGCAGGGAGAAAAGTGCAACAATAAATGAATGGAATTCCAAAGTCTCTGTAAACTTTCATTACAATTAATTTTAAAAAGAAATTAGCAAATAGATAAAAGTGAGAACAAGAAGACTTTACAGTCATCAGATACTATCAAGTAGAGGAGAAGAGCAGAAGAGAGAGATTGAGAGAAATGATTATGCTCCTTTTCTTTGCAGACCTCAGTTCAGGACAAGGAATAAAATCTATGGCTCAGAAACCTGGAGGGGTGTGAAATATGGGGCAAGTTGGTAAAAGATATTTTAAAAGCAGTTCTAGGAGAATTGTTAATTATCAAATACCTGGTTTGGAGAAACTTGGAGGGATTATTTTGCAAAAGCATTTCCTTCATCAGGAGAAAATTATTTCCTCAAGAGAACATCTTAACTGCACCTGTGGGGCCCCATATCAGGGAAATCAAGCCGTCTCAAGCTCGCTTCCACAGCTGGCAGCGAGAACTCAACAATGGAGCTAGTTGAAGACTAACAAAATAAGTTCAAGTATTGAGAAAAATTCATTTTTTTACAACCTTGCTCTATTTGTCAGAGTTTTGAGTCTTGTATGGAAATTTGAGACCCACCCATTTCCAAACTAGCACAAGTAAACACATCTCAAACACTGGAGGAACCAGGGGAATAAACACGCGTTCACTGGGCCTCCGGCTGGCAGTACAGTGCTATGTTCCCCTCCCTCAAGAGACAAGGTGGATATGTGTCAACATTCATGGCTCCCTCTGAATCATCACTTGTGTCCTTGGGGAGTGGACTGGATTCACATGATAATAGAAAAGCCCTTGTTCCTATAAGACAAGTTGATGATGAAGTTCAGTGAGTGTTTTGTGTCTGGGCTTCTCCCCACGAGGGCACTTAGGGAGGAGGCTCAATCCTTGTTCAGGTCCTCCGGTCTTCACAGTGAAGTTTGTTCTAAGCTGAAGGCTATTTCAGAAGAAAAGAGCAGACACTTTACCCTTGTAAGTTAGAGTAGCTCATTGTCCAGGTGGGGATGGCTGGTGGGACATGCGAGAAAGAGAAAGACCTATGGCTGGCACACGAGACTAGGGGCCAAGTGCCCTACCACCTTCCCAGACAGTGAGCACTGAGCGAGTCCTGTCTTGACATCCAAGGCCCGGAGAATCTTGGACTCTGCACTTGGTGTGGCCACTGCCAGCAGGTAAAAGGAAAAGCAGAATAATTTCGATAGTTTTGCTGGATTTCTTACTGCAGTGATTTAGATTCTCTTGGCTGTGGTCTCCCTTAATTCTGTTCAAAACAACCAGCATTCACTGACCTCTGAATATGTATAAATTGTATGGTATTTATTATCCACATGAGCCCTTTAGACACTTTATAGTTAAGATTATGAGGCTTAGAATGTGAATATCAAGTTGATGTAGCCCATCTGTCAGAATCGAGACTTGAGCCAACGCTGACTGCCAGCCGTGTTGTGCCCCTTCGAGGGCAGGCCTTCTCCAGGCAAGGCTATCTTCTCATCTCCACGTGGAGAGGGACACGTATCCCTGCAGCTCGCCCTCATTCTGACCATTGACATAGTCCTTTGAATGTGACTGGAGCTGAAAGAAACCCGTCTGCCCATGGCTCTGCCGCTGTGTTTCTGTTTCAGGGTTTTGCAGAGGGAAATAGGCCCCTTGACTGTGAGATCCCAATGTCAACCACACCTGTCGTAACAAGCTAATCTTCCCGCCTTCCTTGGCCTCACAGTTCAGGTGATTGACTCTCGCCGCCTGTCTCAGCTGCTGGGTAGGGCTCTCACCTCACAGCCCTTGTCACAGAAGTGGAGCAGAGTGGTTGCAGTTGAGTTTTACACACGACATGCAGTTTATGTGGTTGGATGTATTTAACATCTAATGAAATGGCTGCTTCCCTGCAGATCCTGTGTGATGCTTGTTTGCTTCTGCTTATTGTTGGTTTTAGGTGCCACTGAGTTGACTCTGGCATGGAGTGACCTGTCACACCAGATCTAAGTCTTTCCCGGCCCTGCTCACAACCTGCTGTGGTTGTGTGCTGTTAAGTCAGAACCGACCCATAGCTGACCCTTCAGCACATTTTCAGAGACAGTAAATCCCATCACATGGGAGGAGATTGCCTTCTCCCACGAAGCAACTGGTAGATTCAAACTGTGTGCCTTTCAGATTGCAGCACAGCTTCTTACCACTAGGCTACCAGTGTTCTCTATTCATCGCAGTCTACACTGTACTCAAGCCCATCGTGTCAGTCTTAGGAAGATATTTTTCTAGGCTACTAGTTTCTTCCCAACATATTAAAGTTCATATGTAAAACCTTCTAATCCTTGATTGGTTTAATTGTGAACTCTTCTTTGATGAGTTAAGAAGTTCTTGTCATGTGGTAAAAGGAAGTTCATGGCATGCCTCCTATTTTGCTAAGAGACCAACTGCCTGCCGTGTGTCATCAGGCTGGGAGGGATGGGCCCCAAGTGGTCTCCCAGGACCTGCCCACCTCATGTCAAGCTGGTTCACTGCCCACCGCCTCCCTCTTTGGTTCTCCTCCGTCCCATCCTTGGGTCTCCTGTGTCTGCAGAGACCCTTCTCTAACCAATTGGATCTTTCTGGTTTCCTAAGGCTCTATGAACTTCATATGCTAGAGACTGGCAGATCAGACTTACTCTGAAGGTACTGCATTCTTTTCCACCACGACTTTTGTTCCTTGCTCTTTACAATGACTATACTTTATAAACAAATAACCCGAAACACAGACAAAGCCAAGTTTCAGTGTTGCTCCAGTTGAGGAAGTGAAGTTGGTCATCGAGAGAACCACATTCTACTGTCATCTTCATTTTTCTTATCTTTAAATGTAGTTTCTGGAGGCCTCATGTTAAAATCCAAAACAAAAACCAGTATCCTAAAGTGCAGAAACAGAGCAGGTGAGAAATTCTCTTTTGCTGATGGAAGAATGAGTGTTCAGTGGTTTGGAGCCACCGTAGCTCCACAGGAGAAAGCTGTGCTCTCTAGGTATGACTGACAGCCTCAGGAATCTTTCAGAGGGTCGCTAGCAGTCAGAGTGCACTGGCAGGAGTAAGTCAGAGCTTGCATTTTTAGTGCAGTAACGAGGCTGGAAGAGACGGCAATTGCATCCTCAGTGGCTGACTGAAAGGTCCCTGGTTAGACGGTACCAGGTACTGCACGGGAGACAGACAGTCTTGGAGATCCTTGGGGAAGTTCCTCGCCAAAGTCACTATGAGCTGGATCAACTCACTAGAAAGGGTTTAATATTGTAGTTGAAGATTCAGTGGCTTCCTTAGAAAAAGTACTTGAAATCAGCCTTCTTGTTGTTGATAGGAACAACGTACCTTAGGCCGCTTCTGTCCCTAACTACTGCCCAAGTGACACGGGCCCAAGTACATCCCTGGGAATTGTCACTGGCTAACCAATGCCCTGTGAAAAGCCACGTTTGATCAGGGACCATGAAGTCTTCCAGACTTAAGACATTTACTCTAAGGTGAACCTCATTTCCAAAGTTCCAGGTACCACTACAGTAAGGCTCTCAAAAAAATAGCCATCTATATAAACTTACACACACATTTGATTTAAAGACAGACTGAGATATAGAACTCATTCATAATCCAGAGATTGCCTGTATATAATGTGGTATTTTCACATTTTCTAAATCATAGAATATCTATTTTTATAGATAATATCATAGCTGTTAAGTGATACATAAGTGTGTGTGTGTGTGTGTGTGTATGATATCATTTGTAATGAATATTAGTGTGCTATTTCTCAACCATAAGGATTATTTATATGTTTATCTTCTTCACAACTTTAGCTGTTGGGAAGGTTGTTTTATATTAGGTCTCAAAGTTTCAAGAGATAGCCATGTCCTATTATTTTAAAAATCACAGTATGTTCAGGCAAGGCCAATAGAGAGTGATTGTTTATAGAATGCTTCTACAGCTTGTTTTTGTTGTTTACTGTCAAGTTGGAATCAACTCATAACTGACCCGCCAGTAGGTTTTCAGAGGAAGTAAATTGTGCTGGAGTAGATTTTCCAATTACTGCCCACAGAAAAATTGGTGAAATTGAACGATGTACCTTTGGGTTGGAAGTGCAACTCCTTACCCCTAAACCATCAGAACTTCTTTTATAGTGTAAGTCATCAAATTTGCATTATATGAGGTTAAGAATATTGCAGAAATGTATAACACAATGTGCATCTTAATTTTATTATTTCATTGAACAAAGAAGCATTTTCTCATTTTTATGACCACATTGAGTTAGATTGATGAAATATTTAAAAATAAGTATAGAAAATCCGTTCACAAGTTCATTGGTGAACACTCTCTTCTCCCGACATGAAGTAACGTTGTACATCTTTCTGATTGCTCTTCAGCTCTGACTTCCACGTTGCAGTTGTGTTCCCATCCATTTTCACCATATGAACATGAAAGGCAACCAGACGTGGATCTCAGAGGTCACCCTGCTGGGATTCCAGGTGGACCCAGCCCTGGAATATTTCCTCTTTGTGCTCTTCTCGCTGTTCTATGCCTTCACTCTGCTGGGGAATGGGACCATCCTGGGGCTCATCTGTCTGGACCCCAGACTACACACCCCCATGTACTTCTTCCTCTCCCACCTGGCGGTTCTTGACATGTCCTATGCTACCAACAATGTTCCCAAGATGCTGGCAAACTTCCTTAGCAAGAAACAAACTATTCTTTTCGCCCCATGCATAATGCAGACTTTTCTGTATCTGGCTTTTGCTGACACTGAATGTCTGATTTTGGTTGCCATGTCCTACGACAGGTACGTGGCCATCTGCCACCCGCTACGATACACTGTCATCATGAGCTGGAGGGTGTGTACTGTCCTCACCATCATTTCCTGGGCATTTAGCTTCCTCCTGGCCCTTGTCCATACGGTCCTCCTTCTGCAGCTGCCCTTCTGTGGACCCCACGAGATCAACCACTTCTTCTGTGAAATCCTCTCTGTCCTCAGGCTGGCCTGTGCTGATACCTCACTGAACCTTGTGGTCATCTTTGCATCCTGTGTGTTAGTCTTAGTGGGGCCCCTCTGCCTGGTGCTGGTCTCCTACACCCGCATCCTCGTCGCCATCCTGAGGATCCAGTCTGGGGAGGGGCGCAGAAAGGCCTTCTCCACCTGCTCCTCCCACCTCTGCGTGGTGGGGCTCTTCTTTGGCAGTGCCATCGTCATGTACATGGCCCCCAAGTCCAGCCACCCCGAGGAGCAGCAGAAGGTCCTTTCCCTGTTCTACAGCCTTTTCAACCCCATGCTGAACCCCCTGATCTACAGCCTGAGGAACGCAGAGGTGAAGGGCGCCCTCCGGAGAGCACTGCACAAGGAAAGGCCAGCATGAGAGCCATAGCAAAGAGCCACACGATGAGGAGACCTCTGACTGTGGTAGTTATGCTCCTGATGTCCTTGCCCTGACCTCTATGTCCAGATGAGGCATGAGGGATGAATTTCCTAAGGACTATAGATTAAGATAAGAATAAAGACAGGAATTGTGGGGAATTTCGAGTGTGGATGAAGGTGGTAATTATGTTTCATTTATTGGGTTATAATTTTGGAGATTAGAGGGCATATACATCACAGTTTTCTTCAACAATGCTACTTCTACCACACTGGCCATCACCTCTTTAACCTTGACTGTTCAGTTTTCCATTAATAATCAGGATTTTAACTTGACCAGATTTGAAAAATCTTACTCATGTTTCTTATTAAATTGATTTGATTGTATCAAAACCAAGTTTTTTTTATTGCTTTTAAAATTTCCTCTTATATTCCCTGGATTGAGCAGCACTTGTTCAACAACTCAGAGTTCCTGCTCTGTGAGAGTGAAGAGTAGATCAGATGCAGCCCCAGGTGTGCTCATGAGTCTATGCCGGAAAATTTGGAGGAGAGCTGCCTGGCTAACCGATTGGAAAAGATCTATATCTATCCCATTCCCAAGAAAAGTGATCCAAGAGAATGTCATTAATATCACATGCAAGCAAAATACTGCTGAAGATCATTAAAAAATGTCTAGAACAGTTCCGAAATAGTGAACTGCCAGAAGTTCAAACGGGGTTTAAAAGAGGCTGTGGCCAGGGATACTATTGCTGATGTCAGAAGGATCCTGGCTGAAAAGAAAAAGTACCAGAAGAATGTTTATGGCTGGTTGTTGTTTTTTGTTTTTGCTTGTTTGTTTGTTTATTTTTTTTACTGTGTAAAGGCATTTGACTGTGTTTATCATAACAAGTTATGACTAACTTTGAGAAAAATGAGAATCCCAGAGCACTTAAATGTGCTCACTTGAAACCTATGCCTAGTCTAGGAAGCTGTTGTGTGAGCAGAGCAAAGGAACACCACTACACGATTTAAAATTAAGAAGGAAATATGTCAGGGTTGTGTTCAACCTGTATGCTGAAAAAATTCTTTGAGAAGCTGGATTCTGTGAAGAGAAATATGGCATCAGGATCAGGAGACTCATCAATAACCTGCATTATACAGATGACACTACTCTTCCTGCCTGCAGTCAGGAAATAAGGAGACGTATTGCACTGGGACAGTCTACAGTTAGGGACCTCTCCAAATTATTGAGAAGTCCTCTGTACTTTCAGCAAGCAAGGTCGTGTCATCTGCATAATGCAGTAGTGAACATCCCATTGATGTCAGTTTGAGGACTAAAATGCTTCTAATTCAGGTTTTGGTCTTTCCAATCACTTGCTGTGCATCTGAGAGCTGGACAGTGGATAAGGGTGACAGAAGAATTGATGCCTTTGAGCTGTGGTGTTGGAGAAGAGGGCTGAACATCCCATGGCCAGCCAAAAGAACAAACAAATAGTGTTTGAGAAAGTGCAGCCAGAGTGCTTTTTGGAGGCAAGGATGATGAGGCTTCACCTCACCTACCTCGGGCATTTTCCTGGGAGGGGCTATTCCCTGGAGAGAGACATGATGCTCAGAAAGACAGCGGGTCAATGAAGGAGAGGAAGACCCTCAATCAGGTGACTGCCACAATGGACTCTAATGTGTCAGGAGGTGTGAAGGTGACACAGGCTAGGACAGGGTTCAGCTCTGTTGTTCAGAGGGTCATTAAGGGTCAGCTTGATGGCATCTAACAATAAGAACTACTCTGTAAGAAATCCTTTGAAGCTGTTTTCATGAGACACTGTTGAATACGATTCAATTCCACTTTAAGTATAATAAAAGGCAATATTTAGATGGCTCCATCCTCACAATAGTGGGTACAGTTGAATCATTGTTGGCCCACTGACTAGTTGAAGTCCACCAGTAGCTCTGTGGTAGAAAGATGGGACGTGTCTGCCCTTGTAATTCTTACCGCTGAAACTTGCAGGAGAGCCAGCCGTGAGTTGGCTCCAACCCCATGTCAATGAGTTTTAACTGTTTTTGGACAGAAGACCCTTTTAAAGCTTAAAAATTGCTCTTTCTTCCTCCTATACACAAAACTCATAAAAAATGGACCAATGGCCTAAATGTGAAAAAAGAAACGAAGTTCTTCAGAGAAAATGTAGTAGTTATGAGGCTGTGGGAGCCAGTCTTCATAACAGATCATCTGGAAAGAGAACAAAATTTGGGCAGGAGAAGAGACAATAGCACAATAAGCCTTTATTTAGGTTAATCACCTCTGTACATTAAGATCATTTATCACGAGAAAATGTTGGGGAAGGATATATATCCTTCAAGCCAAATATATTGTCAATCAGTCCATCTGAACTGCCCTACCGGGCTTATGTGGTTATATTGCTGACATTTATCATGTTAGAAACGAAATGTGAAAATGTGTTTTTATTTTGGATGTTTTTTTAAAAAGCACTTTATATATAAATATACGTATTTATAAGTGTGTGTGTGTGTGTGTGTGTGTGTGTGTGTGCATGTACGTATGTATGTATTAGGTGATTTAAAAGAGTGAGAAAGTAACAGCAAGAGAGCCCATGCTCTGGTGGTCTAGTGGTAAGAAGCTGCTCTGCAATCCCGAAGGCACACAGTTCAAGTCCACCAGCTGCTCCACAAGAAAATGATGGGCAGTCTCCTCCAGTGCAATTAGCTGCCTCTGACAATGCTCAGTCAGCTATGAGTTGGTTCAACAATACACACGTATATACACAACATTGCTTACAAAACACCTATTCTAAAATAAAAATTACAGCGCAAAAATCGCATTGCTTTACATTTTTGCAACATACCTTACTGTTTGCTTTAACAGAAAACCATTTCAGCAGGAAAAAAAAGCTGAATTTTCTGATCTTTTTCTATATTTACTATGTGATATGGTCACATGTCATGTAGGCTCCTGGATCCCACTACATCCCCATGAAATAATGACAGTGAAAGGAGTGTCTTGATACTATTATGAACCTAAATTTGACCTCATTGAACTTTTGAGTTGGCTTCAGGATTCACAGAGGAACCTGCAGCGTCCTTAAAAACCTCTAATTATCTGTCAAATGAGAACAACAATTGGGTAAAATTATGTCTGTGTCAGAGAGTTGCCATATTTTCTGAAATGTGGAAGGACCCAGTACTTGTGACCATTGTCTCTTATATCCTTCATCACTCGCCCGTTACAGCAGACGGAGGCACTGTGGCTTCAGGAGGCTCGATTCTATGCAGCGTTATCATAACAAGGTGCCAAGGGAATGCCCATCTTAACCTTCAGGAATATTGTGGGCAAGGATGAATTAGTACAAGTTCAAGCATGGAAATGGCTTGGGTGTTGTAATCTGTTCCATCTTTCCTGGGTTTCTGACCCTTGAGTTAACAGGAAATCAGCATGGATTCAGTCTGACCTCAGCATCTGCCTGCCTGTTCCCTAATCTTTTCCCTCAAGAACAATCAGAACACTTTTCAGTCTCCTTCAGAGAGAATGTTCAGGATGCTTTTTCCCCTTTAGGGAAAAGATGAGTAAGTGAGAATTTGAATTCTCTGTAGAGACTCAAGAATGTGTTTACTCCACAAATTCTAAAAGTACAGTTTGGCTCAGGAGGCTCTTTGAAGAGCCAAATTTAGTCAATGCACACTTGTCTGGGATTTTATCCTCTGAGATTTCTAGAAAACCAAACTCCAAACTGTCTACAGTCAAGCAGACAGTAACTCACGGTGACCCTTCATCAGACCTCCAAGACTGTCGTGCTTAATTCGAAGGCACTTCCTGCCATTCTCTGATGGGGCATTAGTGACTTTGAACCCTCAGAGAGGCGTGTGGCCTTTGGACTACACCTTCACCCCTCCTGGAGGTCCTTGTCTCCCCTCTGTGGACTTTACTCCAGGTCAGTCTGATTCCTGAGAGCAAGTCCAGTGTTCATGTTTCTTTATTTAGAAGGCAGTGGTTTTCATTACAAGCAGGTGAAATAAGACAGGACAGAAGAGAGGATCACCATGGCTACATGAAGAGGATGCTCTTTTTGGGTGACCTATCTGAGACCCCTAGGTGGCCCTCACCCTATGGAGCGTGGATACTTTCTTCTGTGATGGGGATTTCTTTGTCTCTCTTTACATGTCTCCCCCTCAGTTTTATGTGCTTAGGTGGTGATGGTCCAAGCTAATACACCACAGTTTACGAGAGAAGGGGCACAGGAAATTACTAACTTCATAACGACTCTATTCTCTGGGTAAAGATCTGAGATCACAACATTTATGAAAGTATATAACTCAGCCTAATTGACGACATCGCTGTCCAGAGAAATGTCTTGCCAATGAAAAATTTCAGTAGTAGTTGCAGTAAAGTATTTTCCTTGGTTGAGACAGTATATGAAGAATGAAGGGGCACTTGAAAATTGTGACTGTAGGCATCACTAAGATGGTACACAGCAGTGGAGACCACAGTTCATCTTTAACTAGCACTTTGGCTTGTCCTAAGTCCTCCTTTCTGCCTTCTAGAACCTGTGATTTGTACTTGAATAAATACAACTTCTTACAGAACTTTTACTATTCAGCAAATAATAAGGGTTTATAAAGAAATGTTTGTCAGGAAAAAAAATATTTATATGGCCACAAGAGAATGTTTATGCAACATATCCCAGGAAGAATGTGTGTGTGTGTGTGTGTGTGTGTGTGTGTGTGTGTGTGCGTGTGTGTGTGTGTGTGTGTGTGTGTGTGTGTGTGTGCGCGCGCGCGCATAGATATTTCTGAAATTTGCTTTCTGGATTGGTTTCCGTAAGTCTAAGTTGGAAGATGACTCATTTCCCCTTGCTGAGCTTTAACGTACTAGAAGAATTAGCACTGTGACTGCAGCTTCGAACTTGAAAGACCAGCTGCGATTGTGCGGATGGGGCAGGGCTTGATGAAGTTTTTATTTGTTGCACTGAGGGTCGCTAAGTCAGAATTGACTCCACCACACCCAAAACCAGCAACAACATTGTCACAGGCATACACGTAACGCCAAGCCCATGACTGTGCTCACACGCTCCCTTACCCAGTTTTATATCGGACACTTACCTTTTCTCAGGAGGTTGGAAAAGTTGCTATTTTTGTTTTATACCCTGTGTTTGCTGGCTCAAGAGATATTTCCTCTTTTGAGAAAACACTTCATTTTTTCCCCGTACAGAACAGCTTGGTTTTTTCTTTGACTGAAAAAAATGTTTCCCTGGAGTTATTTCCTACAGTAACTGTTGAAAGTTATCATCTTATTCTGACAATTACTAATATCTGGAATATGTTTTATTCCTTTTACATTTTCCCATCAGAAAATTGACTAGAGTAAGTATCTATTTTGTTGAGCACAGTTGAGGAGAGAAAACAAAGCTCCCAAGCTGAGCTATAGGATTTCTAGATGGAGAGACACACACGGCGACCAGAAACCTGCATTCAGCGCTGCTGTTTTATTTCATGGACTCTGCTGAAAAGGGCTATGGAATTTAAACACTAAGATGTGCTGATTTATGTCATTATATTTTCACTTGCTTCCTTGCCACTGAATGTTGATGATGAAGAAAAACTAACGAATAATCAATGCCTTCGAATTGTGGGATTAGAGAAGGGTGTTTACTATGTCACGGACCACACAAAGAATGAGCGAATCTGTCCTGGAGGAAGTACAACAGGGTGCTGCTGAGCGGTAAGGGTGGTGCAGCTTCATTGGACGTACTTTGGTCATGTTGTCAGGAAGGGTTAGACACCATGCTAGGGACGTTAGAGAGTCAGGGGGAAAGAGGAAGACCCTGCACAAGACAGACTGACGCAGTGACTGTCCTCGTGGGCTTGAGAATCACGGAGATTGTGAGAAGGTGCAAGATGTCAAGGTTTCAATGTTGTTCATGGGTTGACTCTGAGTTGCCACTGACTAGACAGCACCTAACAACAACAAGACAATCACAAGGGGAAAACTGCAGCGGCACCGCTGAGATATCCTCTCAGTGCTCTTCTGCCATAGCTGCTTAAAGTAATTGATCCCATCTTCAGTCCTGATTTGTTTATTTTTAACATTAACTTGGTGGCAGTGAAAATGAAAGGGGTTTTTGAGTCAGACACAAAGATAACTGAATGAGAAAGTCAAGATAAAATGATCCTTCTGGCTAGCCGGCATTTGTAATATCTCACAGGATGTTATGGTTCAGGATTTGGAGATTCAACGTGTTTAAAACACTATTCATTGAATCCAATATATCTTAGAATCTTGCACATAACTGATACTGCTGTTTTCTGGTTTACACACTTTGGAAACAGTCTTAAATTATAGCAAAAATTAAGGCCACAAACCTAATGTCCATTTTCAGAAAATCATTGTAAATAAAATTGTATTCAAGAGAATGAAAGGATCTAAGCTTTTGCCTCTTGAGTTTGAGTGAAAAGCTACTGTCCATGTGCTCTGTCCATTACCACATGCTATATCCTTTACCATGTGCTTTAAAGCCACTGTCTGTGGGCTCTGCCCTTTACCAGGCTTATTGTTTGCAAGTTTCATGTGTACATACGAGATTCTTTCACATTCCTTTCTTGTTTTAAAGGTGAAGAATCAAGTAATTTTTAAAATTTATTATAAATATGAGACCATGTTCAGTAAAAAGAGTGTAACTGTATATACAGTTCACTAATAAGTATTTGCTGAAAATTTCAAGTCATAATCTTTTTGTTTTCCAGTCAGTTTCAGAAATATTTTCCTAAGAAAACTTTGAAAATTTTATTTCAAAACCTAATATCATTTTCCTCGTGCAGTGAAATTGACTGTGAAACTTTTGTCTGTGAGTCTGTATTTATCTGGATAAAAGTAAAAATAAGAAAATGAAATAAATAAAATTAATAAGGTGCTAGGATTCAAGACATATTGTTGTTGTTATGTGCCATCGAGTAGATTGTGACTCATAGTGACCCTATGTACAAGAGCTCTAAACGCTGTTCTATCCTGTGCCAACCTAGCCATCTCAAATGCACTTATTCCCACCGCTCCAGTCACAGAATCAATCTGTCTCATCGAAGGTCTTCCTCTCTTTTGCTGCCCCTCCACTCTCCCAAACATAATGTCCCTCTCCAAGGACCAGTCCCTCCTTGCAACATGCCCAAAGTATGTCAGACGAAGCTTCAGAATCCTTGACTCCAAGGAGCATTCCGGCTTCACCCTCTCCAGGACAAACCTGTTTGTTCTTCTAGCAGTCCGTGGTATATTCAACACTCGTCTCCAGCATATATATGCTTAAAAATAAACTACAGAGTTTTGTCAAGATCATATGTTGTTGTTGATTGCCATCAAGCTGGGCACGTCTCATAGCAACCCTACAAACCAAAGGCCTGAAGCCTTTCTAGAACTATCATCATTTCTCAAAGTTCCGTTTCCAGAGGCCCGTTGTTCAGGAAGTGGATGCCCCTCCGGCTTCATGTGAAGCAGTTCAAACTCCACAGCGGTGCATCTCACTCCTTTATGAGACAGGTTGGCTTTTCTTTTTTAATTTCCAACCAAAAATTATGTATTTAGTCTAATGTGTAAGCAAATACAAGAGAAGAATAAAAACTTTTTAATATACATCTAAAGTTTTAGATCCATACTTTCCCTCTGCATGTGTCCTTTTTTCTTTTTTGTTTAACAAATGACTCCAATTAATCTAATTTTTGTTATTAAAAGGACAAATGTATTTTTAGGTGGAATGAATACTTACCCAATAATAGTCATTAAAGCACAACAATCTGAGGTGTATTCATGAATAATTTTTTTGTGTTTTTTTTTAATTTTAATTTTTTAATTGATATTTTAGTGAAAGTTTATAGAAAACTTGGCTTCCCATTCATTCATTGTTGCGCATTTTCCTACATGTTGGCTTTTTACTACGTTAGGTCCTTCCTGATAGGTCTGCCCATGGCAGTACGCCCTTTGATTTCTTGCCTGTTGATTCCATGGTTGATTGGGGATCCAAAAAAAATTAAACTCTGACTTCAGCCTTTTCTCTGTTTATCATCATGCTGCTTATTTGTCTAGTTTTGAGAATTTCTTGTTGACTTGAGGTATAACCTATACTGAGGGCTGATTGTAGTCTTTAATCTCCATCAATGAATGTTTCAAGTTCTTCCAACCTTCAGAAAGTAAGGTTAGGTCATTTGCATGCCACAGGCGGTTTGTTAATGTTTCTTAAATCCTAACGCCGTGTTGTTCTTCACTAGTGCAGCTTCTAGGACTATTTATTCAGAATATCACTGGATGAATTGGATGAAATAGTACAGTCCTAAAGCGCGTGCTTCCTGATTTTAAACTGCTCGTCATCCAGTACTGCTGGGACACAGCAAAGTGTTCTAGAATTCAATTTTTCGAAAGGTTGTCCTTGATTGTTATGATGCACATAGCTGAATTTCTTTGCATAATCAACAAAACACAGGAAAGAGTCCTCCCAACACTTTCTGTTTTCACACAACATCAATCTTGTTTGAGCAATGATATCCCTTACTCCATGTCTTCTTCAGAATCAAGCTTTTATTTTGGGCAGCTCCC